GATTCCCTTTAAGCCTGAAAGACAAGAAAATATTCAACTTCACTTTAGTTTGTGAACCTTTCTTTTCTTTATACACACACACACACACAAACCAACAAGCCTGTTAAAAGTGTAAGTGTACATTATATTATATTGCAAGCGAAGTAATAGGATATAAAAGTGAAGTGAAATTAAACACATTAACAGCAACTTAGTTAAAGTAAAATCAGAAGAAAAGGCATGCAGTAACAAACCAGAGAGTGACATTTGAGGGTAGGTCAAAACTGCCAGAAATATTGACAAGCAAATTGTTCTCCAAATCCCTGCACAAGTAATGTAAAGCACCACAGAGCATTGTTTATTAGCAAAAATAGTCATTGAACATCACAAATGATTACATTATTGATCTTAAGTGAGAACAAATAAGACTCCTAAATTTGGATCAACCTTTTCACTTGGCAAATCAAGTTTGTGACTATGATGTAGGGTTCAAATTCTAAATAAAGAAAATCATTTTTTCAAGACTTACAGTGTAAGACTCTCTATTGCATTTAGAGCTCTGTTTTGCCAAAGGGAGGATGAAATCGAACCATTCAATGAATTATTTGCAAGTAACCTACAAGGAGGAATAACCAACTCTTTAAATACATTTAATCAAGTTAAATATACTGGTAGTGCCATTAGCTACTAACTTAATTTCTAATGTTCACAAAGTCAAAAAACAAATTGGTGGAGACCAAGTGGAAAATGCTTACAGATTCTGGAGATGAGGTAAACTAGAAAAGTTGATAGGAATGCTTCCAGTAAAATTATTGTTGGATAAATCACTATACATGTTTCCAAACAACAAAATGTTAAAAATCATGGAATCACACAAACGTATTGCAATCTAAAGAGAGTATTTTCAAAATCTTAAAGCAAGCAAATCAGCAAAAATGTGTGCATTATTAGAGTGAGAATCTTACATGGTTGTGATATTCTCAGAGAGCTTATTTGCAGGTATGGGTCCACCTAGCTTGTTTGAGCTCAAGTCCCTAAAGTTTATATAAGAGAAATAGAAATAAGAGCTACATTTAATTCTCTAATAGGAAAGCCATTCCATCATGAGGAAGAAACACATGAACTTACAAATAATGAAGGTTGGGTATTCTGCTTAGGTCAGGGATTGATCCTTGCAAATTGCAATTCCTGAGACTCCTGATAAGTTAACCAATGAAAATGTTCAAAATCACAAAATTCCACACACCTTCAAGTCCACATATGCTCCCTAACAGTAATTTTCAATCCATGTTAAAATTATTATGGATAGCTACATCACATTTATTAATTCAATAATACAGTATTCAAAATAGTTCACATTTATAATATTTTCATTACATCTAGTTGTGTAAGCAAAACATAATTTCACTCTAAAAACTATATATCCTTCTAAGTTTTATCAGTTTCTCTTTAATGTAAATATTGCTTTAGAAAAATTTCATTGTTTCGTGTTCTGTTATTGATGATTTTTAACTGCTGCTTGCTTATAATGGTGAAACCATGTAAATATTACTTTATAAAAATTTCAAATGTGTAGTCTTATGTATCACATATAAATATATTAAAAAGATGGTAGCACCTATCTCTTCATCTCTACCTTCTAAATCTATATAATGCCAGGATAGGGTTCCAGTAAGCACTTACAACTTCAATAATGTAGGTATGTTTCCAAATGATCTAGGAATAGAAGCCCCATCAAAGTTGTTATTGTCAAGTTGACTGAAGAAGGTAGAAATGGAAACTATTAATGAAATCAAAGAAGATTATCAATTGAAATATGAAATGTAAAAGCGTTTACAAGTAATTATAAAGATACACTCAACAAAAGAATGATCAAGAGAAGAAAAACATACAGAACAAATGTAACTATGGACTTCTTTTAATGAGGAAATAATTATTCTTCATGTTGCATTTTATATAAGCATCTCTGCTCTGTCCTATATTCTGCTCCTCCTTGTGTTGAATGACTAACAAGGTACAATGCATAGCTCACATCCTCATTTTACATTTTCGTTTAGCTGTTCCACAACAATTAGAATAAATAACTTGGGAAAGTTAGAAAACATACATGATGGCTAAATTTGGCATTTGGGCAAGCTCTTGTGGAAGATACCCCGATAAATTGTTATTGTCAAGAAGGCTGCATAAGAAAAAATGAATGGAGCCTCAGAAGGAAGTTGAGTTGCACATAATCACAGATAAGTTAATGCTACAGATATATGACAAGACTAAAATAGGAGAAATTAACCTATGATAAACTTACAAGTGTACAAGGTTTGGTAATTTGGAGAGCTCCGGAGGGATTTGTCCGCTAATTGAATTATTATTCATGTGACTGCTCAAAAGGAGAAAGAAGATAAAGGAATAGATTGAAAATATAAAAAGGAAGGCGAAGTGAAAATAACAAGGGACGCTAGTAGTAGCTATTTCAGAAATGCCCTTACAAATGCTTTGCGTTTTTTAAGTTTGAAAATGATGTAGGCATTGGCCCGGATATGTTATTCTCGTCAATTTGAATCCTGTTTAGATTCGGCAAATAGCCAAGCTCATCAGGCAAGGAACCTGTCAATTGGTTCCCATTCAGGAGCCTGTAAAATAGAATACCACTTCTAAATGAGCAAATAAGAAAATTTAGATGCAAATATGCAGTATTACAATATTGATAATAAGATCATAAATGAGCTACAAAATCATTATTAAAAAAATTTAACTTACAAGAGCTCCAAGGTTGTGATATTGCCAATCTCTTTCGGTATACTCCCTCTAATTTTGTTCCACATAAAATCCCTTTTACAATGGAAAGGAATGATAAACCATCATTAGGTGAAAAATTATAAATCTTCCAGGAAGAATTGAGATAAAGATAGCTTTCATAATATCCTTAGCCTCACAATATCAACAGACGAGACAAGCGGCCAAGTGCTGGTGATAAAGTTCCTGAAAGATTCATACTCAGTAGTTGCCTGCATTAAAAAAAAAAATGAAGAAAGCAATACAGCGTAGTTGTTAATTAGTAAAAATGTCAAAAAGCAATCAAGTGAAAGTTTACTGGAAGTTGATATCTAGTTTTTGTGGGTTTGTAGATGTTTAGAAAATTCTTAACATAAAAACAAAATAGCAGTAACCAGTTAAGTGCTA